CTCAATGTGAGTGTTATGTACCAGTTCTACTACTGTGTGCCCTGGCACACCTAGCAAGGTGTGCCAATACAGTTTAAAATGAACATGTTACTTTATAAAATGAACATGTGTAAACATGTTTACACATGTTCATTTTATAAAGTAACATGTTCATTTTAAAAATTCCTTGGCACACCTTACTAGGTGTGCCAGGGCACACCTAATTATTTGCGGTTATGTACATCCTTATGTACACTATTATGTACTTGGAGCATTACTCTAAAATTTATATTGAATGAGTGAATAATGTGTCCTAAATATGTATTTAAATGAATGTGTAAGAATGTGAGTGTATGTTTAAATTGAGAGAGCTTTAGTGCAAAATAATGTAAATGAGAGGGAGTTTTATGTTTTGATTGAATAAATGATATTTGAGAATTTGGGTTGCGGATGTCCTAATGTATATGGTCCCGAAGAATAGTCAAACTAGGAACCATTTTATTTGCATGTTATTGGCGGGTGGGTTTGAGAAGGACGAGACGTCGGAAGTAGACTGACTGACCTATGCTATAATACGCAGAATACGCAAATGGCGTAATATTTTTGGTCCTAGGAATTCGCGATATTTTTCTCCGTCACAAAAACTACAAATAAATAAATAAAATGCAACATAATAAAAAGTGACGTTTGATGTCAATTTCCAACTTTCTTTCTTTCTACTTGCCTTCTTTTAGTTACTCCGCCCTCTCTCTCTCTCTCTCTCTCGTATGCGCCGGCCCATGTTCTCTGCTTCCACTACTCAGAAAAGCAGATCTAATTTTGTCGGAAAGAAACAGGAAAAAGAAGAAGAAGAAGACCCTCAATCTTCTTCATAATTTCCTTTGGTAAGTCGAATATGTACTGTCATTTCAGTAAATCCGCGTTGTCTACTCTTTTTCTACTGCATGTCCGTCCAGTCCTACGAATCTAATTCATGTTGAATAAAATTAAATAGCAAGTGGTGTGGTGTGGTGTGGTGTGGTGTGGTGTGGAAAGCCCCTGTATTTTGATGGAGATGAGTTTTTTTTTTTTT